TTAAAGTACAAGACTAGATGGCCCTATAAATATTTTGGAAGTCCCTTTTCAACATTGTATTGAAATGGATTGGTAAGCCTGCCAACTTTAGCAATTTTATAGCAAATAGGGATAGGGCTAATTGGAATAGTATCTAGGTAGTTTGTAGGAATAGTCAACCCTTAGAAGGTTATGAGAAGACTTGTGAGTTCTATTGCAAAGCCTAAATTAGCAGTATCACCTTATCAAGCTAGATTTCCAATTAACATTTAAGAAGTTGTGCAAATAATGGTAGGTTGTACCTTATGAAGAAGAGCATAAGGCAAAAACAAACAACATCCAAATGTGGTAAGATGAAGATAGTCATATAAACATAAATTGTTTACCACAACTTGAGTTGTCATTGGGGTGGTAGGAAGTTAGGATGTTTCAATAGGGACATCACTCTTTTCAGGTTGATTTTTCTTTTTTTTAATCTTTTTATTGCCTTTTAATATTGTTTTTTTCATTAAAACCAACCACTTAAGGATTTTGCATACACCTTAACTGTGAATCTCTCAAAGAGTAAGGATTGGACCTGACATTCCTCTGAGGCAGGGAAAGGGAAGATGAGTTTATATGAAGCATGTCTATTGGATTTGATATGTGTTATAGAGAAAGGGAAGATGAGTTTATATGAAGTATATTTCATAGCAATCTTCAAAAGCCTTGGTATTTAAGGAAGGAAGACACATAGGAACAAAACCTTCAGTTAAGATATTATATGATCAGATAAAGAAAAAATGACTCCACTAGTATGAATAATAGCAACTGTAGTGGAGGAAATGGTCTGCAACACATCTATGGAGTATACTCCCCAAGCTTCTACTAGTGACATAAAGAATATTTGCTCAAAGTGTTGTTTTTCCTTTGCTGGTGAAAATGTTAGTATAGACTTTAGAGCAAAATGCTCTCACACACCTTTCTATTTCAAAACACCACCTTTTGCATGTTAGTGGATTCCTATAATTTAACCATGAATATTTTTTATCCCTAACATAAAGTGATTTGGTAAATTCAAGAAGTGAGGAAGAGTAAGGTGGCTATTGTACAAGATTAACACATGGTGGCTGGAAGCTATTGAAAGTACCACATAAGCCAATGTTGATGCGGAAGAAGAAAAGATGCCTTGGGGTATCCTAAGGCATTGATGAAAGAATTAATGCCATGGTTGAGGCAATAGAATATTGTACCAAATAGGTACTTTATGTCCACCAAGCCAAAAACTTGTATATCCTTATGATTTACAATAGCATGTTTAGTCTGATTGTAGCTCATGGGTTGATGATACCCCCACTTTAAATCTTTTGAGAAATGCCTAACTTTCAACCTCTAAGGTAGAAAGATTCAAGCATTTTTAGGAAGTTTAAACCTCTAACTTTCAAGGGAGATGCCCCTCTTGATGAGAATCAAGATTGGCTTGCCACCTTGTCCACAGCTAAAAAACTCAATAGATGAATTGATTATAACATCTTGCTTTAGGCTAACATTGTTATGGCATAAGGGGCATACTAGGGTTTGGTGGAAAATAAGGAGGAATTCTTTATCTATCTAGAGGGATTTATAATGGGCTTAAATTAGTTTGAAGCAAAATTTGATAAAAGATTTTTGAGTTTAAATTGTTGAATAAGTTGTGAGCTAAGAAGAAAAAAGAGAAGAAATATATTTAAATATATGTAGACACATTGAATTGACTCACAATACAACTTAGATTTTTGCTAGTGACAAATTGGCAATTGCATAGATATTTTTGTTAAGGCTTTAAGAAATTTTTTGGGAGCAAATGATGCATCAATTGCCCTAATCTTATGTCCAGGCAATACACCAAACACACAAATTCAAGATACAAAAGGAGTGAAGATTCAATCAAGATTCCTAAAGATAAGTCTTTTAAAGAAAAGAATAAGCATCAAATGAGCAACTATAGAATGATGTATGGACTAATGTTAAGGATATTGCAGCAACTTTAACACAAGAATTGAAGAAAGATAGATTCTTAGCTCATATTTTTTGGGAGGAGGTTAGTTGACGAAGGTGGTGGTGCAAGATGATGCCTTAAATATAATAATAACAACTTGACATAATATTGTGTAATGAACCAACAACATTCAACTACCAACCATGATATATAATTTGACACAAAGACATAGAAATATTCTATTGATAGATCTTTAGAACTAGAAAATCTAAATAAGTACCCATTTAAACCATGCTAAAGCCTTAGAGAGAGAGAAAAGAAAGGAAAGTGTAAAGTGTATTGGAGCAAAAACTAGTACATAAAGGGATGCAAATATTATTAGGAAGTTAAGGCTAATAGATGATGGAGATTTTAGTAAAAGATCCTTTGTGGCTAATAGGTAACAGTAAACATTTCAATAGCATTGCAATAATATCTTTAAAAATAATTATGTAGAGGAGAACCTACTCATGATGGTGTCAATTAATCTTGGATATGGATGAAGGCAAGTACGATTTAATGTGATGCATTACAATGAGGTGGATGACAAGGGGCTAAAAGAGGAGGATGTTAATAAGAATCCTTAAATGGGGGAATTATAAATAAAATTTCAAGTCATGTCCACTAGAATAAGACTTTGTACCATAGCACTTCTCATTACTTTCCACTTGTACCCTTTAGCTCTGAGATTCTTAGGATCTTGGAATCCTTTGCATGCATTATAGCCCTGCTACACCCTAATCCATCTCATTACTTTAATTGTTTCAAGTTTGACTATTCACAAGTTTGTACAATACAAGCTAACACTCCCACTCCTGCTAGTCTAGGGTAGCCCTAGCTGCAAGTGTAGGTCATTATTGTGCAGCTTTGGCCAACCAAATGTAGACATGGCTATAGCTACTATAGCCATGGCCATGGGGTTCCTTTAGCCCATGACTACATGGCTTGCTATGTAGATAAAACAAATAAGAGCACATGGAGATTTTACATGAGTGTGGTTACTAGTTGTGGCTGGCTATAGCAACCTAAGCCTATAGCTATGGCAGCCTGGTATAGCTTGCCAAAAGAAAAAAAAATAGAGAATAGTAAGTTGTGTCTTTGGCTATAACTCTAGCCGCATTAAATATGGAGTTAAATGCTTGTGCTAAGGAGAAAGAGAATCTTAACAGTCTATCATAACCAAAAATTTGAAAAAAAAAACAAGAAAAACCTTATCCTACTATCAGCTTCACAACCATGTTACCATAACTTCATCACAGCTAGTGTCTGGCACTGGTACAAGTGCAAGGAGTAATAGGCAATCATAAGAATGCTTGGCATGCACAAAGAGGCCCTTGCATTTGAATTTGTCTATTGTATATTATGACATGTCATCCTGTCCACATGGTAAATAAAGGTTGAGGAGCTGATTTGCAACTAACATGGTCTCATAAACATACCTCGTTAATAGAAGTTATCAGTCGTGAACAACCTTTGTCACTGTCGTAATATCTTGGATTTAGCAACCCTAATTCAATATCCAAAACCTAGGGCTTTAGCTTAGATAGATTCATTTATTCCCATATAATATTCAAGAATTGTTTGACATTCCCACATTCTACAATTTCACTACTAAAAGAAGATTGATTAATCACAATGAGCTTTGAAACATCTACTACTAGGATTTCTAGGGTTCTTGATTCCTCCTTGATCTTCTCAAGCTCTTTAGGTAGCATCTGAAAGAAAAAACTTTAAAATCTAAATGAAAGATAAAAAAAGGGAATATTTCCTTCTCTAATACCTTCTCTAATCTTACTTCCACCATGTGTTTAATCATTTCTTGTTGCAACTAGCTTAGGAGCAAATGCTAAGAATTTGATCAAGGAGATCCATAACCAATGATATTAGATAAATTTGCCTTGCACTTGACAATGTTTGCTATGCATTAAATAAAAACTTGTGAGTAATAACAATTTGTCTCATTGCCTTATAAGGCATCTCTCACAAATGACAAGTACATTTCATGCTTGAAGCAAAAGAAAAAACAAAACAACCCAAGGCATCAAAAGCAACCCACAAGAAAGGAGGAAAGGGAGGCCATAAAACTCAAAAGAGCTGAGGAGGAGGTTAAATGTGTAATAAATGTAAAGAAAGCATTTAAACTTGACATTGCAAAACAACTAAGAGAACAAGAAAAACAAGTTGCCAAGGAAGAAAAACTTATAGAAAAATAGCGGAATGGAATGGTGGTGGGGACTAGCAACTAAACTCAAATACAGCTCAGAAATACTTAAAATGGCACTAGAAAAAGCACAAAAAGATATTACTAGGCAAGAGTTCTTCATAGCTTTAATATGTCCAGATTACACAATTAAAATTGACGAGGAGGTTATTGCTAGGAATAGCTAAGACCAAAACACAAGTCCCATTTAGGTAAGAATGATTTGTAACTCTTTTCTAACTGAATTTATCACATGTTTACATGTAGAAATTGAATAGATACTTAGGGCCATAGCACTTCTATAGCACTTCTGTTTGCCAATTTGCAGTGAGATAGATATTTCTTTTTAAAAAAAGTTTCTGGACCTACTAATATCTTTAATTTTATTTTTTAATTTTATTCACTTGGTTGGGATACAGCCCCCTACTATTGTAATTTCAATGGCAAGGCAATTGTTGGATTTAAAGTACACACATTCTAGGCAGTGAATCCCTGCTAGGTTGAAAATGCCAATTGGCAATAATTTAAGGGCTAGTTTACATGATTTTGGTATTTTTATTGAACTTTGAAAACCTTTCAAAGAGGAATTTACCAAGTGTTAGTGACATGACAATATATTTAGCATTTCAAAGCTATTTGTTTCCTGCTAGAATCATTATTTTTGTACATGAAGCCTTGTTTCTCTACTGAAATTGATACGATATGGAAACAACTCGTATCAAAGGAACGTGGTTGCCTGAACAGGCTACTGCCAGAGCTGGGCATTTAGAGGAAGCGCAAGATGCCCGAGTGGTTTAAGAATATTCTTCCAATTGGGAGGTGCCCTAGAATGGAGTGTACGCTGAGCGGCAATGCCGTCAAGGGCTTGCATCGTGCTGTGGCGTGCCTGGCGCGCGTCGGCCCGGAGCTCCTACTAGAGGCGCTGCCGGACAAGGTGAGAGAAAATCTAAGCGAGGAGGAGGAGGAAGAGGAGCAGCGCGATCTCTTTTCTTTTTCTTTGCTAGGTGACCCTCCGATCGCTCAACTCGGCGCGCTCGGCGTTCGTCGCGATCACATTCCGGCGCCACTTCTTCGATAGGCTGCAGCTCTCTTCCTCGAGCGCTCAGTGCGGTGTGCTTCTCAAGGTGTGAGCCTTTGTCCTCGAGGAGCGCCTAGTCTTGGGGTTGCTAATATCGTCTTTAAGGCCGTGTGCACTGTCTTGCGGACGCAACCAGGCAGTGTAGAGCGCATGGCGATCACACTGCCGGACAGCAATGCTTCCAAGTTGAAGTGGACGATCGACTGCTTGAATGGTACGTAATGGTGAATTTGTTCGTCTTGGCTTTGGAATGTGTTTTCGTAGCTTATGTCGCGAGCTTTCGAGCAGGGCTGAGGAAAACGTACTGGATATCTTGCAACAACGACATAGAAATGCAGCATGTAGCGATCGAGAGGAACATTTTTCCCAGCAATCTGGTGGCAAGGCCTCGTGACTTCAGCAGGCTGCTGGCTAATTTCCAGTCGAGCTTGCAAGAGATTACTCTGATCGCCACCGAGCCTTTCCTTGCGCCTACTGAGTCGGAAGGCAAGGCAGTGGAACTCAGGAGCTACATCGACCCCGTCAAAGGTATGTTGTTGCTCGCTCGGCTCTATATGTTTCGTTTTCTTTGCTCTGTGCCCGTAGAAAACAACGATGGCGCACTTCATACTCAACTTTGGATTGATCCCGCCGAAGAATTGCGAGACTATCATCATACGGGGGTCGCAGTGGACGTTACGTTCAGCGTCAAGGAGCTCAAGGTGCCTCACTTATCACTTATCTTAAGAGGAAATCCTAACATCTATAGCCTTTGCATGCTTCAGGCCTTTATGAATTTTTGTGAAGGTTCGGAGGCTGATATGCAGCTTTTCTTCGACAAAGCTGGAAGGTACTTATCTTTCAGTGTCTTATTGTATTCTAGTTGCAAAATCCACGTCCTGCGTGCAGCCCGATTCTCCTTGCTCCAAAGTTCAGTGTTGATGATGCTGCAAATGCCGATTTTGACGCAACTCTTGTGCTAGCGACTATGCTGGGCTCTCAGCTTAGATCCAGTGATTCTGCTAGTGATCGAGCTCCAACAGATGCTCAGCTTGCACAGGGCGCTCCCCAAGCGGGTTATACTACTCCAAAGAATGCAGCTAATAAGGAAACAGCGGCAATGGGTTCAGGCCCTCGGTCTGATCATACTGTAATTTGGTCAGAGCTTTCAGGTACATTTTGTCAATCGTGGACAAGCTAAAGTCACTCCGTTTTACAGGCACGGCAGATCAAAGAGGAAGAGGGTATGCTGACAGACTTGCAAACCAACAGCCTCGTCAAATATTCCCGGATAGTGGCGACGCTACCGAGGAACTTCCTTTCCACCGACATGAGTTTGTTTTAAAGATCTATCCACCTCTTTTGTTCCTCACATCTGTCATTTTTCTCTCGGCAGTGTCACGTTAGAGAAGGATGTCCGGAATGGTACAGAGGATGACGTCGTGCAGCAGCCACCCAATGGTGAATGCTTTTCGGTGTTTATTGTTTCAAGCTAAGCTTGTAAATTGTCAATGCAGATGAGCGTAGTGCACAACAGCTGTTTGGAAAGGATTTGAGCAACTGGATTGCTGCCGATACAGACGAGGAAAACGATGGGGATGGGTTTTGCGTTCAAGCAACACCTCCCCACCGGAGGGGATGAAGAGGGCGCTGGTATGTTCTTGTCGAGCCCGCTTTCGCTTTTCACGCTTGTCGTTCAAATTCCAGTTGCAAGTCAATAACGTGTCTCCAGTTTTGGTTTCGACTGAACAGGCATTTCCCAAGTGCACTCCAAGTTACGATGACAGGCATGAAATCTTGTCCTGGGCAAGCCGGTAGACCTTGGCTGACGGGGGGAGCATCTTACCAGGTAAAAAGATTACAATTTCTTCAATGGAAGCTACGTTGTTGTTTTGTTTGGCAGCAACCATTTCAGACTACTTTTCCAAGACATGTTGTAATCACACTAAGGCTTAAATAGATAGTGACTTCGCATCACATTCTTGATGCCTTATGGCATAGTTTAAATGCTGATTGATTCATGATGTCTCGTCCTGGGTGATTTAGATTGGTGAACCGACAGTTCACCAATCTGTCGGTGAACTCTCCAAACCATATAAACCGCTTTTCCAGTGTTATATTGACGTCTGCAGTGATTTAGAGAAGTTTGTTTGGGCTCAGCCAGGTGATGCCACTGTAAGAAATCTTAAGGATTGTGGGAAAAACCGGAGCTTCACCGGTGAGTTCCAGATGGCTCTGCTTCTTCAATTTCTTATACAGAGGAACGATATGGCATGGAGAAGTCTTCTGAAACGCTTCGTTGCTTTCAGGACACCGATAGATAGCACTGAGCACTACGAGTTGCCAGCTGCAGCAAACGAGAAGTACTTGATCGGGTTCCAGTGGTTATATGGAAACTACGATGGGCTGCATTCTTCTTCAGCTTCGATTCACGTCATCGTCGGTGCAAACGTGCTGCTTGAAGGCAATATAAGTCTGGATGTGTCCCCGCCCTTCAATATCAGCTTGTATACTTTGCCAGCCGCTGTGTTTCTCCGGTGGTCTCCCAGTTAAAGTTTGTATCCCTGCTACATTTCCACCCATAAATGCTGATCATTCGATCTATGTTACGGTTGATAAAACCTCCTATAGATGGATTTGTAGTCACTGATCCCTGCGGGCAATGATCTCTCCTTTACAAATGGTCTAAAATGCATACCATGAACAACCTCAAATCAGCTAGATAAAGGGGAAGTCTGGGTTTGAGCGATCCAAAAGTATCTCAAATTCCATTGATTTAGCCAACTACGCTAGACCTTGCACCACAAATGTTCCAAATCAATCGCTACAGCAAGCATTTTAATGGCCGGAAGGCACTCAATACGATGTGCGCATCAACTTCAACTCCAAAATGAATTGACTGCGAGCTTGACACTTCTTTCCCTGATTTCAAGATCTGTTAAAGTTTTCTGTGATTACTAGCGTTCCTAGTAGTAATTCAATCAGACCTCTCTCAGACAAGTGGAGTTGATTCACTCCAACAGAGAGATCGGCTAGAGGGCCTATCAGAGTTCTTCCTTTAACAGGAACCGACAGCCTAGCAAAGATGACAATTTTTAGCAAGCAACATATTCAACTTGTGATATGTTGATACCTTAAGACTCACAAATTATTCCTTTGTGTCATATGTTTTTTGTGATCGGCATTCTAGTCCATGCATCCTAAACAGGCACAAGTGGACTGAAAATATTTTGAACCAGTTGGAGATCCTGACAAGCGTGAAATTATTTCAAAGAGACAATTCTTCCATTGTCCTGGGCAATTTGTCCCATCTTGCACGAGTCTATGATCCTCGTATGCCAAGGTTTTGCCGAAGACACTAGCGTCCAAGCCGGTATCGACGAGGGACGAGCAGGGTCCTCGCCCGAGCTATTAAAGTTGGCCAGCGTTTTCCATCACCCAAGACTCCAATGGCAAAAGGTTCCAACCATGTTGTTCTTGTTCCTCTTCCAGCACAAGGCCATCTCCTGCCAATCCTCTACCTCGCCAGGAAGCTCGCAGCGCATGGATTTGCCGTAACCATCGTCAACATCGACAGCGTCCACGAGAGTGTGAAGCAAAACTGGAAGAACGTTCCACAGCAAGACATCCGCCTGGAATCGATCCAGATGGAGCTCAAGGTCCCCAAAGGCTTCGACGCCGGCAACATGGACGCAGTGGCTGCATTTGTGGATTCGCTCCAGGCCCTGGAAGAACCACTGGCGGATCTCCTCGCCAAACTCAGTGCTGCTCGAGCCGTGTCGTGCGTCATCTCGGATTTCTATCACCCCTCGGCACCGCACGCCGCGTCCAAGGCCGGAATGCCCTCCGTGTGCTTCTGGCCTGGGATGGCGTCGTGGGCTTCCATCCAATACAGCCAGCCTTCGATGATCGCTGCTGGTTATATTCCAGTCGATGGTAAAGTTGGTTCTTTTTTCTGGAGTTTCTTCTTATCGGAGTTTTTCTCTAAACTGCCAGAGTCGAATGCTAGCGAGATTGTCGATCTTCCCGGCTTGAAACCGATGCGAGCGGACGATCTCCCGTTCTATCTCCGCAAGGACTTCTACCACAAGCTGGGGAGGGATAGATTTCTTCGCCAGCTCGAACGAGCGGCCAAGGATACGTGGGTCTTGGCAAACTCATTCTACGAGCTGGAACCGCAAGCTTTCGATGCCATGCAGCACGTCGTTCCAGGAAAGTTTGTCCCGGTCGGGCCCCTCTTCCCACTCCGAGATCGCAAGGCGAGTGGGATGGAGGCGAGCTTGCGGCCGGAAGATCACAGCTCCATCGGCTGGCTCGATCGCAAGCCTCCCAAATCGGTGCTCTACGTCGCGTTTGGGAGCATCACGGTGCTGAGCCCCGGGGAATTCGAGGAGCTGGCACGGGGGCTGGAAGAGAGCGGGCATCCCTTCCTCTTCTCTGTTCCTCGTGAGATGGTGCCGGAGGTGGGGGACGATCGCGTGGGCGAATTCGCGGAGAGGGCGGCTCGATCGGGGGCCGGGATGGTGGTGCGGTGGGCGCCGCAGCTGGCGGTGCTCCAGCACCCATCGGTGGGCGGATTCCTGAGCCACTGCGGGTGGAATTCCATCCTGGAGAGCGTGAGCAGCGGCGTGCCGGTGCTGGGGTGGCCGATCGCGTCGGAGCAAAACACCAATTGCAAGCTCGCGCTCCAGGAGCGGGGGATCGGGATGGAGCTGGCGGACAGATCGAGCGACGGCGTGGCGAGCGCGGTCCGGGAATTGATGGCGAGCGAGGAGCTGAGAAGGAATGTGGCGGAGATTGGGAGGAACGCCCGGGCGGCCGCGACCGCTGGCGGATCATCGCACAGGAACCTCCATGATTTCTTCCATTCCTGCCAAGATCGAGAGATTCTACTGCAAATCAAGCAACAATCCCTAATCTAGCGAGAGAGAGAGAGAGAGAAATATTCCATTCTCTGGCTAAAGGATATTATTATTCTCTCCCCCGTGCGGCAAGATTCCACGATCCGGCCGTCCATTCAAATGGCCACGATGCCGATAGATAGAAAGAGCTTGGAGTCTCCGCAGTGATCTTCCGTCCTGGTCACGCGCCAGGGATCGCAGGGCTTCCATCGCATCGGTCCTTCCTCGCGATGCGACCGGCGAGGATTGAAGCGCAGTGTTAGGGTTTACTCTCCTGTTGCTCTCTCCTGTCTCTCTCGATCTCTCGATCGATCGACAGCGAAGATGCGATTTCCAAGGCTCTGGCAGCGCGGAGGAGTTTTGACCTCTCTCGGGAGCTCCGATCGAGGCTAGGGTTGAAATTTCCCCCCTTCATCCATCCATGGCTCCTCCAAACACGAGCTATGTCGAAGTGGGAGAGGCGCCGGCGCTGCTGGAGAGCGAGACGACCGATGTGGTTGCAGAGGAGGCTGGCGCATTCGTCCTGCCGCCAAAGATCCCCGTGCCCGCCGCACTGTCGAGCAAATTTGGGGGCTCGCCCCCCGCCAGCGTCTACGAGCTCCTCGAGTGCCCAGTCTGTACCAATTCCATGTATCCTCCCATCCATCAGGTAAAAGCTTCTTTCTCTCTCGATTTCCTGTTCTCTATCCAGTTTGATCCATCGCTGGTGTTTTCTTTTCTTTTTCTTTCTCTTGTGTAGTGCCCGAATGGTCACACTTTGTGTTCTACGTGCAAAGTCCGCGTCCACAACCGCTGCCCGACTTGCCGATACGAGCTCGGGAACATCCGGTGCTTGGCTCTGGAGAAAGTTGCCGAGTCCCTCGAGTTGCCATGCCGGTACCAAAGCCATGGCTGCCCGGAGATCTTCCCCTACTACAGCAAGCTCAAGCACGAGTCCCAGTGCTCCTTCCGGCCTTACAATTGCCCCTACGCGGGATCTGAGTGCTCCATCACCGGAGACATCCCGACTCTCGTCGCCCATCTCCGGGACGATCACAGAGTTGACATGCACAATGGCTGTACCTTCAACCACAGATACGTGAAGTCCAATCCACAGGAGGTCGAGAACGCGACATGGATGCTCACTGTAAGTTCGTCTTTGATTCTTCGTCTTGTTTCTTGTTTTTCGTTTTGTTCCTGTGGACTGATCCGATGCTTGCAGGTTTTTAATTGCTTTGGCCAACACTTTTGCCTCCACTTCGAGGCCTTCCAGCTCGGGGTGGCGCCCGTGTACATGGCCTTCTTGCGATTCATGGGGGACGACAACGATGCCAAGAACTTCAGCTACAGCCTCGAAGTCGGAGCCAACGGGCGCAAGTTGATGTGGCAGGGAGTTCCCAGGAGCATCCGGGACAGCCATCGTAAGGTCCGAGACAGCCACGATGGTTTGATCATCCAGAGAAACATGGCACTCTTCTTCTCTGGAGGGGATAGGAAGGAGCTCAAGCTTAGAGTGACTGGCCGGATCTGGAAGGAGCAATGACAGGGCAGTTTTGAGTGGATGGGGCTGTAGGAGATAGTTGTACATTATCATCACCAGCAGGAAGAATTCTTCTCCGAGGTTTGGGATTTTAGTTTAGAACTTGGGCTTTGGATCGATCAGGGCCTGGCAGGAGAATGAGCTTGGTTAGTGGAAGCTGTAACAGGGAAGCTTGGTCAAGTCTGAGCATACTAGAAACACTGGCAAAATGGAAAATCCTTCCTTGAAAAGCTTGCTGAAAGTTGCGAGCTTTGGAATAGTCTTCCAGAGGAAAAGGTGGCTGGAAGGAAGTATTTGGAAGCAGCGATGTCGAGTTTTCTTTCAAGCTGGAGCTGCCGCTGTTACATCGGATGGAGCCGGAGCCGGAGCCGGAGCCGGAGGTGGAGCTCGAGATCGAACTGGCGGAGGTGGTCGGACTGCTGGAGGAGCCGGAGACGCGGGATCATACCAGCCGAGAGCGATCTCCAGCGCCTTTTTGGCGCGAGCGAGGCGGGACTTTCGCCTCCGGCCGGTGTTCCTGTGGAGCGTGCGAACCTTGACAGCCTTGTCGATCACCGAGTAGGCCTCGCCGATCATCACCTCGACGGGCTTGAGCTCCTCGGGCGCCGCCCCCTCGGCCTTCTTCTTGAGATCCTCGAGCGCCGAGAACACCTTCTTCATCCTCGTCCGGATCTCCGACTTCCTGGCCTTGTTGTAGATGCGCCTCTTCTCGGACAAGAGCGCCCTCTTCACCGCCGACGGCATCTTCTTCTTCTTGGGCGCCTCCTCGTCCTTGGCCGCCGCTCGAACCCGGAATCTAGACGCTGGGCTTGCTGGAGTCGTGGTTCCTCTCCTGGGCTCCAGAATCGCGAGCGAGGACACGAGCCTGGCGGTCATATTGCCTGCATTGCCACAACGGAAAATCGATGCCACACTGCTCTAGCTCAAATCTTCGCGTACCCAAATCGTCGCCGAAGAAGAGCGAGCAGCTCCTGCCGCCACTGGTGCTACAAATCCCAGAAGCCCGAGGCGCCGTGGCCCAGGGCTGGCGGCACGCCCACGCCGTTGTCATCGTCGTCGCCATAGCTCTATCCAAATTTTTAGGGTTTTTGAGTTTAAAGGAAAGGGGGTTACGCACCCAACCATTAAATCTTGCAGTCACGTATATACTTTGTAGTTTTGATTGAATTTCATTGTACTCCATGAATTACCCTTAAATTAAACTAATGCTATAAACTAAATACATTAAATTTTAAATTAGGTTAAAATCTTCTAATGTAAAAGGCGTAATTTAAAGGACTCCCCCAAGATATCAATAGGATCACTGGTTGAGCGGGATAACAACAATGGAGATATTGTCTCTACTCAACTCGCTCGCCTTTCTAACAGCTTGATTCGCCACTGCCTGGCCCAATTCGGATGTTGTTGGATCAACCATCGCGGCTATGTCGCAAACCTCTTGCTCGCTCATCCCTTCGTAGAGCCCATCCGAGGCCAACACGATAAACCCATCTTTGTTGGTGTTCGTCCACACCGACACGTCCGGGGTGGCAATCACGCCGTGGTTCTTGAGCGGAAGGTCCCCGATGGCGCGCGACATTGGAAAGTGGCCATCGATCACGCCGAAGCGTACCACGCCGCCCGCGGCCTCTATCCGGTGCTGCTCCGCGGGTAACTCCGGGTGGTGGTCGCTCGTTAGCACCTTGGCAACCAGCTTCTCGCCACCGTCGCGGACGCACGCGATCGCCCTCGAGTCGCCAACGTTGGCCACGACCATGAACTCGTCCGTCACTACTGCTACGCACGCGGTGGATCCCGCTGGCCACCGGTTCTTGTAGGCTTCCTTGAGAAACGAGCTCTCCAGCTCCGCGATGGTCTTCTCCAGAGCCGCCTTGACAACTCCAGCGATTTTACTGCTAGAGGCATCCAGTGATCCCTGAAGGTTTGCGCGGAGCTTGGGCTCGAAGTTCTGGACGAGGAACTCGCTGGCCTGGGAGCCTATGTGGCCGTCGAAGACGGCGAAAACTCCCAGCCGGGTATCACCATGATCGGCGAGCAAGTTGGAGAGCGCTATTAGCCGATCTTCCTGGTATCTCCGGCGCCCTTGAATGCTCAGATGCCCACTGGACCACCCTGTTGATACTTCCACTGCTACAACACTACTCACCGCCAGCGCCAAGAGCGCCAAGAGCGCCAAGAGCTTCTTCATCCTTCCTTACCCTAGAAAAAGGAAGCTCTATATAATCCTTATAAACACCCGGTCACATGTGACAAAAGACAACATAGATAAGGCGTGTCTTACCGGCCAGAAACTTGGGGGGCTTCTTGAGCGTCAAGGCGCCGCGCTGCTTCTCTAGTTCGGGTGAGAGAGATCGCAGGACTGGCACGCGGATCAATGGCTACTTGTAACTGTGGGCTTGTGTGTTTGTTTCTTCTCTTCTCAATTCCCGTTAGCGCTAGCGTCTCTTTGAGCCTAGTCTCAAGATTTAACGCTTCTGCCAATGCCGGTGAAGCAAGTCAAGCGAGAGCAATTTTCCTCCTCTCCTCACTAGTTGATTCTTCTTTCTCTTCCTTGATCTCCGCTCAGAAGCTCAACTACGTAGCAAGTGAGTACCTTGTTGAGGTAGCGTTCGGATCCAGCAAGTCAAGCAAGAAGCTGATTTTCGACACAGGAAGCACGTATATATGGACAAAGTGCTCCAGAAGCAACTTAGGATATCCACACGGCTCAAACACATTCAAGCCACTCAGTTGCGGCACCGACTGCCCACTGCAATTTTGTAACATGGACAATGGTGGCTGTTTGTTCCAAGTTACATACCTCTCCAGTTACGTCATAGGTAAACTCGCTAGCTTTTATTAACACACAGTGCACAGTGCATTGAAATAGCATATGCAGGAGAAGGTGTACAAGACACCATGGAACTCGGGGATCTAACTCGAAGAATACGCTTTGGTTGTGGATATGCGTGGGGAATCAGTCACGAGTACGATGGAGTGTGTGGATTTGCAATGTCAAGACCATCGGTACCATCACAGCTTCAACCTTTAGCTAAGCAGCTTGGTATCACTCGGTTTGCTACATGCTTCTACAAATCCGTGAGGGGCTCTCTCTTTCTCAACCACGATGCTGATAATGCCATGGTGAAACTGTCGAGCTACTCAGTGCCACTGCTCAGGCTGCCGGGATCCTTCCCTGGGCCTCTTCCTTACTCGGTTGAAATCACAGGAATCGGTGTTGGTGGCCGGCTCACCTTCCAAACATCCCTAGGGAGTTTCATCATCTTCGACACAGGAGCTCGCTACACTGTTTTGGTTGAGGCTTTATTTGAGAAGGTAAAGGATTCTTTAGATGCAGCTCTTTCTACAAGTTATGATCGTGTCGAACAGCCCCATGACCAGATCTGCTATGTTTCTAAAGGTCAATCCTTCCCATTTCCTTCCCTTGATTTTCACTTGAAAACAGTCACCATCTCACTCGCTCCAATTAACTATATGATGAGTGGCACCAACGGGGACCGAACTCACTGCCTTGCAATACGAAAGATCAGCGGCCTCTACGGAAATGCAGTTGGTATTTTTGGAAGTTACATGCAGCACAACATTCTCTTATACCACGACCTTGAGAAACAAGAGCTCTCGTTCGCGGCAGTGGATTGCTCTAAATTTTAGTTAAGCTTCATTTATAAAGTCAATGTAATCGCTTGAAAACTATTGTCTTCAAGCTCCAATAAAGAGTGCTTCCCAGCTTCCTTTTCTACGGGCACAGAAAAAAGAAAACGTCAAACAAAGAAGAACACAGAGCCGACAGCATACTTTGACGGAGTCGATGTAGGTCCTGAGCTCCACTGCGTTCCCTTCCGACTCAGTAGGTGCAAGGAAAGGCTCGGTGGCGATCAGAGTAAGCTCGACTGCAAGCAAGACAGCAGCCTACTGCAGTCACGAGGGCTTGCCACAAGATTGGTGCTGGAAAAGAAACAATGGAACTTTTTGCCATACCGCTCCCCGGAACACTCCGCAAGAATAACGCAGCAGCAAGGAGGCTGCTCAGGACAATAGAAGCATTGATTTGCTTGTCGGCATCATGTTCTCGAACTTGAGTGCACCTGGTGACTTGAAATGCCTGTTTAGACGAAACCAAAACTCGATACACGTTATTGAATTGTAACTGCGGAAAGCGGGTTGACAAGAACATACCAACAACCTCGCTTCATCCCCGGAGATGTTGCTTGAGCGCAAAACCCATCCACATTGCTTTCCTCGTTTGTATCGGCAGCAATCCAGTTGCTCAAATATTTTCCAAACAGCTGTTGTGCACTACGCTCATCTGCATTGACAAATTAGCAGCTTAGCCTGAAACAACGAACACTGAAAAGCCTTCACCATTGGGCTGCACGACGTCGTCCTCTGTACCATTCCGGGATCCTTAGAGAAAAATGAAATACGTGAGGAACAAAAGCGGTTGATTCATCGTAAAAACAAACTCATGTTGGTGGAACGGAAGCTCCTCGGTATATTTTACGAGGCTGTTGTTAGCAGAATCACTGGCTTGCGTCAAAATCGGCATTTGCGGCATCATCAACACTGAACTTTGGAGCAAGAAGAATTGGGCTGCAGGCAGGACGTGGATTTTGCAACTATAAAACATTAAGACAATGAAAGTAGTACCTTCCAGCTTTGTCGAAGAAAAGCTGCATATCAGCCTCCGAAACCTTGGCAAAAATTTATGCATGTAAAGGCCATCTAGATGTTAGGATTTCCTCTTGAGATAAGTGAAGCACCTTGAGCTCCTTGACGCCGAACGTAACGTCAACTACGACTACAGTATGGAGATAGTATCGCAATTCTTCGGCGGGAGCAATCTGAGTGCGATAAAAAGGAAACGTCAAAGAAAGAAAAAGGATCTAGAGCCGAGCGAGCAGCAACATACCTTTGACGCGGTCGATGTAGCTCCTGATCTCCACTGCCTTGCCTTCGGACTCAGTAGGCGCAAGGAAAAGCTCGGTAGGGATCAGTAAGCTCGACTCCAAATTAGCTGAAGTCACGAGGCCTTGCCACCAGGGTGCTGGGAAAAGAGTATCGACACATGCTGCATTTCTGTGTCATTGTTGCAAGACGTTTCCTTAAAAGCTAGCGACAGAAGCTACGAGTCAAATCCAAGACGAACAAATCCGCAATTACATACCATTCAAGCAGTCGATCGGAGGCATTGCTGTCCGACAGTGTGCTTGGTTGCGTCCGCAAGACAGTGCACACGGCCTTAAAAGACGACATTAGCATCCGAGAAAGGAAAAAAACGGACAAGGCTCATACTTCCAGACGTACGCTGCACTGAGCGCTCGAGGAAGAGAGCTGCCTATCAAGGATGGAATGTGATCGCAACGAACGCCGAGCGCGCCGAGGGGCACCTAGCAAAGAAAAAGAAATAGAGATTTTCTCTCACCTTGTCCAGCAGCGCCTCTAGAAGCCGACGCGGGCCAGGCACGCGATGCAAGCCCCTGAAGGCATTGCGGCCAAGTGTACACTCCATTCTAGAGCAAAAAGGTGGTCTTGTATTCTTCTAATCGCACTTTCGAGCATGCAAGAGTCCCACGCGGGCATCTTGCGCTTCCTAAGTCTAGCCGATGTGATCATTGGAACCTCAACCTCCAGTAAAGTAAGCATGGTTGAGAGCTTGCATCGCTGTGATCCTATCCTCCTGAAACAGATTCAAACATCAGTAAGCGTGAAAAGTTTTAGTTTTCTTCCTACCGGGGACCATCGGAGGAGGCTCTGCACAAGCTCGAGCGCAAGCTTATTGGGGAAGCCGTGTGACAGAGCCGACTGATTCACGCATCGCGCAGTTTGCAGCGCCTAAGGAAGAAGAGAAACAAGTAAACAAAAACGAAAACATCCAGTCAAGCCTCAAAGGTTTACCATTGTCTCCAGGAGCTCTCCAGCCAAGATCTTGTCCGGAGGGAAGACACAAAAGTTCGACAGCCCCAGCAAATAGGCCACGGAACGCGGTGGCATCCCGTAGTCAATTTGCCATGCCATTTGCATTTGCAGTGTCGTGGGAAGTATCGCTGACCGGTTTCCCATGAAAACCTCTAGAAGCGTAACCCCGACCATCCACATGTCAAACCTGCAATTGGCATTTCAGTTTGATACCAAAATAAGAAAAAAACACTTACGCTTCCCCTTCATGGAGGTAAAACCTGTAGTCGTCGATGAATCGAGCCTCCGGTGCTGTGTAGCGCATGTCACTTTCACCATTCCTGTATAAAGAATTTTCATCAATGAATTCTTGAGAACTACCTATACCTGAGAGGACCAATGCCTCTGTACAACGTTTTGCTGCTGGTCTGGTCGATTGCACTCCCAAGGTCGATAATTCGAGTGTGTCCTCCTGCCACTAGTATGTTGTCTGGCTTGATGTCTCGATGGTAAATTCCACGCTCGTGGAGGGATGCAACACCTAGCAACTGCAACAGCACAAGAAAACAAACACAAAGTGAGTCACACAACAAAAAAAAATAGAAGTAGAAAAGATTTAAAGCTAACCAGTTGAGTAACAAAGCTCCTCTTCTTGATGCTCCTCGTTTTCAACAACGATGTAGCAGTTTTTCCCTCATGGAAGAAGACCATGTAGATTTCATTGCCTTCTTGGAAAGCCTCCACGAACCTGTGAACGTTTGCTAGAAATTTTCAAAGCAAAAGAAAAGACAAACCTCCCAACGTGGTCGAGAGAAGTATTGTAGCACGGGGGATCATACAATCCACAAGTCTCCGTCATCACCCAAGACTTCCGAAGTGATTGACCACATTGCAATTGTTCGCTCCTCAATCTAGAACCAAAATAAATCTCCCGATAAGCTGAAGCCAGTCGCACCTCGTCCAACATCTAGAAGAAAAAAAAAAAAAACAAAGAAAGAATAAGTTGAAATTTTGACTTGCACCAATCCCTACTTACCATCACAACTTTGGCAACATAAGCCTGGGAGTCATTAGGATACCTTGCATTGTACACACGACCAAAGGCTCCTCTCCCAATCTCTCCCCCTACAATTTCCACGTCGAGGAAGAAGCTACCCCACTCAGCCGCAAGGTTGACTTCATCGTCCATCTCTAGGCATCGATCCTCACCATGGCACACCACCTTCTTGGGCTCTGAAGCCGCGGGAAAGATCGCTAGGATCAGGAAAGCCAAGAGCAACAGCATGGCTGCAAAGTAACAATAAATGAGCCAATGCATCGCAAGTAACAATAAATGAGCCGATGCATCGCAAGTAACAATAAATGAGCCGATGCATCGCAAGAAAGAAGCTTTAAGATACCTCCCACACGCATTGCTTTGCTGCCGATGTTGATCTCCCGCACCATCGCGCGCCGCTAGCGCGCCGATCTGTAAGAAGCTCTGGATGTAAGGGAGAGTAGCTAGCAGCAAGAACAAAAAGAAGGAACCTTGCCGCGCTCGCCAATGTCGATCTCCCGCGCGCCGATCTATAAGAAGCTCTGGATGTAAGAGACAGTAGCTAGCAGCAAGAAAGAAAAGCAGGAACCTGGTGGCGCTCGCCTCGCGCTTTAGCCCCAAATAAACCCTTGTTACAAGTGCTAGATTCTCTGTCCTAAATATTTCTTGTCCGATCAAAATCGCTTACATGGTTCGTATGCTTCTTCCCGGGGCCCTTAAAAAAGTAACCTCGACTTCTATTAATTATAAAATTAACTAAGACATGTGAGTAATTAGACTAAACTAAGTGGGGATAACAACAATGGAGATATTGTCTCTATAGCTCTCCTTTCTAGCAGCTTGAGCCTTTCTGGCAGCTTGATCGGCCACTGCCTGGCCCAACTCTGGTGTTTCTGGATCGACCGTCGCGGCTATGTCGCAAACCTCTTGCTCGCTTATCCCATCGTAGAGCCCATGCGAAGCCACCACGATAAACCCATCCATGGCGTTCCTCCACACCGTGACATCCGGGGTGCCAATCACGCCGTAGTACCTCTTGAGCAGGAGGTCCCCGATGGAGCGGGACATTGGAAACCAGCCCTCGATCACGCCAGAGCGTACCTCGCTCCCCGCGGCCTCTAACCGCTGCCTCTCCATGGGCAACTCCGGGTGGTGGTCGCTCGTTAGCGCCTTGGCAACCAGCTTCTTGCCACCGTCGCGGACGCACGCGATCGCCCTCGAGTCGCCGACGTTGGCCATGACCATGAACTCGTCCGTCACCACCGCAACGCACGCGGTGGATCCCGCGTCCCACCACCGCTTCTCGTAGGCTTCCTTGAGAAACGACGTCTCCAGCTCCGCGATGGTCTTCTCCAGAGCCGCCTTGACAACACTAGCTTCGATTGAGGCATCCAGTGACCCCTGGAGGTTTGCGCGGAGCCTGGGCTCGAAGTTCTGGACGAGGAACTCGCTGGCCTGTGAGTCTGTGTGTCCGTCGAAGATGGCGAAAACACCCAGCCGGGTATCACCATCATCGATGAGCAAGTTGGAGAGCGCTAGTACCCGATCTTCCTGGTGTCTCCGGCGCCCTTGAATGCTCAGATGCCCACTCGACCACCCTGTTGATACTTCCACTGCTACAACACTACTCACCGCCAGCGCCAAGAGCGCCAGGAGCGCCAAGAGCTTCTTCATCTTTACCCTATGACAAAAGGAAGAGCTTTGGTCTCTTTCTATAGTCTCAAGGAAAAAGGTTTCAGCCATGAGCTTCGAAACATCCACACTTGACCTTGATCGTTTCACTGTTTCTCACCACCTCGCCCTGGATTATCCCTCCCACGAACTTCCCAATCACCAGCTGAGACACCATCACTACATTCCCAGGATCCTGGAAAAAGAAAAAACAAAAAGAATGGATTAGTTGATCGCCTATACTAGAAGAGAACTTGGGCGCTTCTTACTTGTGTCCTGTAACTCCGGATCCCCATGAGACCATAGTTCCTGGATCGCGTCCAGTGGTGGTGCTTGAATTTGTAGTCGTTTCCCAGAACGCCCAGCCGCCCAGCCGCGCGCATGAAATAGTACGCCGGCTTTGGCAGCGGCCGATTGGCGATGGCGCTCGTCGTGAACTGGTTGAAGAGCACTTGATCCCCGCGAAAGATTTGAGAGTGGCCTCCGCAGTGGACATCACCTGTGGATCTCTGTGAGAAAACCAAACGAACAAGCAAAGAATTTGAGGAAGACTTCCTACCTCCCAGGACCATGACCTCTCTCCGCCCGCTCTCCTTCCAATTCACCAGCGCTTCGATCATCCTCGTCTGCTCCTTGCGATGTATGTCCGCCGACCAGTGCCCCCGGAAATCCACGAGCCGCGGCACATTCTTCCCGGCGGCATCGGTGATGTTCGGCTCCAGGAAGACGAGCGGCGCCGGGGAGCAAACCAGCAGCACGCGTACATCCTCGAAGAGATCCCCCGGGCGGAGAGCCTGGTCGATGTCGGTCCACTGCGGGCTGCCGAGGTAGGGGAACTCGTCGCCCTTGACTCGCTGGAACGATCGGCAGCCGCGAACATCCAAGAACATAAGCCCCAGCCCGCCAACTACGTGGAAGTGGTGGTCCTGCACGGACGGCCAGGATTTGCCGAGTTCTTCCGCAAATCATGGAACCACGTACCTTGGTCAGCTTGTTGAGCTTCCTGAAATCGATGTCGCGGTCCAATTGGCGCTGGTACTCCAGGTAGGCGATCCACGCGCCGCGCGCGATGAAGAAATCGAGGCATTCCGGGTCCCAGTCGGCCTCGAGGTCGGCCCAATTGTCGCGGATCTCGTGGTCGTCGTAGATCATGAGATTGGGGCAATTCGCCAGGCAGCGGGCGGTGGGGGGGTGCCGCCACGTCTCGCGGTACACCTCGCGGTACGCTTCGCGGACTTCCTCCTCTTTGGTGTGCCACAGATGCCGTGGGACGTCCTTCATGATCTCTTCCTTGCACAGCCGGAATCGATCGGAGCAGCGGTCGACATGGTTTTCCTTGTCCATCAATTTATCGCCATCGCCATACACCTGGGAGAAAAGAGAAAGAGAAATTTCTTAAGAACACGACAAGAACTTAAGAACAGGGGAATGGAGGGATCGTTTAATGGAACAGCAATCTTAGATCCAACCGTGCAATCCTTGAAGGAAAGAAAGGAAATCGAGGACCCAACACAGGAATTCTGGACAAAAGCCGCCGTGAGAATGGATCGATCTCTCACCTGGTCGCCGAGATGGAGGACCAAGTCCACGCTCCCAGCCTCGATGTTCTTGGCGAGGTCCGCCCACAGGTCCGAGTGAATGGGGATTTCCATCTGGGTGATGAAGATCTTGTTGCAGCTCACCACTCCAACATTGACACGATCCCACAGCTCCTCCTTCCTGGGAAACGTGACGAAGCTACTCCTGGTCACGAGATCAGATTTGCATCCCTCCAGCTCCACCAGGTAGCGGCACCCGGGGCTGAGCTCCAAGAACTCAAACGCCACTGGCCGATTCGCGGGCAACCTCTTCTCCACCTTCAAGCTCCTCCCCTGCTTGCTCTTCGATTTTCCCGGCAGCGCTGGATCTTGATCCCCTTCCTTGGGAATCGCGCTCGCCTGATCTTGCGGAGCGGGAGCATCCTTCTTCGCTCTTCGCCGACGCCTCCTGGATTTCTGGAGCAGCTGCCGCGACCGCAACACGTCGGCGGCATCCTCGATCTGGGTGAGCGAGACCGTGATCCGGGCCTCGCGATCGATTTCCAGCAGGATCCTGGCGCTCGTTGACGTTACCTTGCCAATCACTGGCCCGATCACCACATTGGCGTCCTCCTGGGATTTCTTCCTCGCATTTCGCTCCTCGCCCAGCAATTTGTTCACTGCCCCGGCGACCTTCTTCCTCCACGCGCTCATGATCACTCCATCCGTACCAAGCAAAACCCAGGCCTATATAAACAACGCGTGACGATTCGCGGATATCCCTTGTCTCCGTACATTTGATCCCATTCTTTTCGAACAAGAGAAAACGTACAAAAACTTCGTCGTCGTCTTCGGAAGGAAAGACACTAAGAGAAAAACATAGGAAGGAAAAAAAGAATATTCTTTACTTCTGCCTGTTGATTCCTTGCTTTCGTGATATTCCGTTCAGATTAGCGGCAAAGCTCCGACTGCTTTGTGCCGAAACGAGCAAAGCGATTCACCGTCGCCACCAGCCCCACCGCAGAGATACGGGTGCGCCAAGAAAGCTTCCAGCTCCTTTCGCAGCGCGGCCGCAAGAGCTATGGATTCGGCACCAGGCTTTTGCTTCGCCGTGATCACTGCTCCCAAATACATCCTTCTCGCCGTCTCGAGTTGCTTGGAATCGTTTCCGGGCATGGTTTCGGAAGGCACGAGTCCCTGCGCACATTTCCAGCGAAGTTTTAGTGACTCTCTCGTGAAACAGCTGAATGTCTTCCAGCTTTACCGCAATAATTCTTTCAGCCTCGTCTCGATCTGTGGCAACACCAGCCTCCGGTTCGTCGTCGAAGTCCATGCGAATGTTTTGCAGCTGAGCCTGGAACTGAGCGGCAGAGAACTGGACCTGGAGATGGCTGAGCTCTTCTCGCATTCTCGCGGCCGCATCGTTCTTTTGCATGACTTCTCGCTGCATTCTCGCCACCATCGCCTCCATATTCACAAGGTCCTTCTGCAAGGATCACAAACCACAAGCGTTTGTCAGCTAGTCTCAGAAAATTATTTCTCGAACTCACGTGTTTCTCTGTCAGTTGGCTTTGCACGGCCTGCGCGAAGCGCTCCCTGTCCCGCAGGCTCTTTTGCACTTCCTCCATCTTCTTCTTGAGCTCCACAAGCTCTTCCTCCCTCGCGGCCTCGGCTGCTTCAAACGATCGAACAGTCTCCAGCATGCTGTCTTTCTCCCAGACTTGCTTCTTCAGCAGATCGATCTGGGCCTGGAGCTGGACGAGCTCCTCCCTGTTGAGTTTCTCGATCAGATTTTGTGATTCGGTGTACTCTACGCCACTCTCGTCTTGGTCGACCCGACGGAGGATGTTCTCCTGTTCGTCCCAGATTGCCGAGATTTCGTCTTTGGCATCGACCTTCGCCGGCTGTTGCTTGTTCTTCTTTGATTTGAGAGGACTATCAGAGACCTGGACTATGCATAGTTTAAAGAGTGTTCTAAGCAAAGATGGAAGTACCTTCTTGACGGAAGAAGCGTCTCTGGGTGGAGCGGGAGTGTAGACCATCGAAGCATGGCGAGTAAAACCTCTCCTGCCCTTTTGCTCCTTGAATCGAGAGGACCAATGCTCGTCAGCAAAAAGAAACAAGAAAGAAAATCATGCTCACCATGAAAGATTCCATGAGCGGGATCATCTCTACCAGATTTTGGTAGATAGTTTTGTCGATCGCACCAGGAGGAGGAAGCCCCGACCAATCCTCCACAGACATCGCGACGCCAAAATCCGTGCGGCTCTTGCCTAAAATCTCCTCCTCGCCAAGAGATCCCTCGCACCTCCTCCCAGAAATTGATGCTCGCGGAGCAGCGCCACTACCTACATTGCTGGATCGACGCGAGCCGGGAGCGCCAAAGGACGGCAGCAGCATAGATCCATCCGGCGTGCTGCTCCAGGCGGAGATATCCTGGGGTAGCAAATCCTGGCCAATGCGCGGCCTCACGACCTCGGCCGCCGGGCGACGCGCTCCTCCACGCCCTGTTGCCCTAAAAGCTCGAGCATTCTTCTTGGGGCTGCTATGGAACAGTGCCGAGCTCCTGGGGGAGGAATCCAACGCCGGCGGCGTGAGAATCTCTCGCTCCTGACGAATTCGCGGAAGATTTGCCCTCTTGACCTTCACTGCTGCTACTGCCGATGCCGCTGTTGCCATGCAACAGGGATCGTGCGACGACGAGGCCTGGTCCTCACCATAAACGAGAAATCACAGGAAATGGCAGATCGATCGGCAGAAAAAGGGGAAAGAGGAGATGAGATTCTTGTTTGCGCCTGCCGCCCGGCCCAACTGGATTGATCGTGTCGTCCACCACGGCATCACTCGGAAAAAACAAATGGAATCAAAGCCTGCGATTCCTGGGCCAAACGCTACAGGCTTTCGGCACGATCGATCATCATCCAACCCCGTTCTTGGTCGATCCCGTCCCGTTCGCGCCGATGAATCGATCGATCGAAAAGGAAAAATCTGACTAGAGTGGTAGAGCTTGAGCTTGAGCGCTAACGGACGGGAAACCCAGCCCTTTTACCGCGCAGTAACAGTAAGCCTGGTTTGAAATTTTCACCACGGGCCCTTTCAAAACTTTCATTGTGACGTTGCCGTGACAGAAAAAATATTCAATAAAAGTTGCGCCGCCCGTGGGGCTCGAACCCACGACCACAAGGTTAAGAGCCTTGCGCTCTACCAACTGAGCTAGGGCGGCTTGCGTGTAGCACTCGTCAGCAAAGCCATCCACATCTAACCCTCTCATAGCTATGAACACAACTGGAAAATTTACTTTTTTCTTTTTCTTTACAACTGGGATGACTAACTGACCGACTGACCGACCGATTCCTTGCTTGCCAATGCGAAATAGAAGAACACACCTCTCAATCCATCCATCCATCAATCAAACGACCAATCGATCGATCAATCAATCCATTTTGCTCCGATCTCACACCCTCTCAGTAGTTTTGCTCGATGAGGTAATCCGCTAGGCGCTCAACAACAACGTTGCATTCGCCCGGCGCGACCGGCTCGTCATACAGCCCGATGACCAGAGCGCTGGAAGTCTTCTTGATCGTCACTCCGGCAGATCCCTGCGAGCCCAGATCGATCGATCAATCAAACTTTCCTCTCGATCTTTACCTTCTTTCCCCTGATCACAACGCCGGCCTCGCCTTGGATCACCATGTACTTGCTGCCGCTGAGGTAGAGGCCGTTCTGGGCGAGCTGCGAGGAATCGTCAAACGCATTCATCACGTTGGTAATCTCCTCGGGCTTGACCTGCGCGGACATAGATAGGGTTTGTCGATGGATTGATTGAATCGCTCGCTCGCTCGCTCGCCAAGAAATCCAGAAATCGCTCTTCTTACCGCTGGAAAGTTGGGGCTCTGCGCCCAGACGCTGCCGTCGTGACCCAGAATCGCCGCCGATGAGAGCGTGCGCCCGTTGCCAAGATCATACATGAGGTAAGAATCGACATACGTCTGCCACGACATGGTGCTAGACGATCAATCGATCGATCACGAGCTCGCCTGGGTCGAGGAGAAAGAGAGAGCGAAAGAGAGAAAACCTAAACGAGAGAGACGAAGGAACAGGGGCCTCTCAAATTTTGTTCTCACCACGCGGTGGCCGCGCGGTGGCCAGCTGTGTGCCGTTGGATCCGGCAATCTGGGCCGTCGGCTGTGCGGGATATTCCCATGATTTGTGGTGCCAGTCGGACAAGATCATTCGCTCTCTCTTTTTTGGATTTTTAATCTTTGGCGACTTTGGCTCGGTGGTGGTGGAGAAGATGGCGGCAAAGGAATAAAATCTCGATCTAAGTTTTCAATTCAGGGACACGATTCTACATTGTATGATGTGAGTGTGTAAAACAGCAAAATGGATACGCTCCCCTTTAGACTGTTCTCTCCGTGGAAATCCTCACGGCATCACATGAAAAGCGAGACGACATGGCCCCCCCAGTGATGCGCTGCCGCCAGTGTTGCGAAGATCAGACCGAGCGCAATGGAGTGATCCAAGGAGAAGCCTGCGCAGAGCAAAAGGCGAGTAATCAGAGGAGTCGAGCGCGAAAGAAAACCGATGAAACCAAGGAAAGAATCGAGAAGAGCACGAGAATCGGGCAAAAGAATCGATATTTCGAGAAAAGAACCGATGCGTCGATGTTCTTGGAGGCCAACGAAAGAATCAAGAAGGATGTTCTTGGAGAAAGAAGAGCGAGCTGGAGCGAAATCTTTTCACCTTTGCTTGACATCGGGCTGGGAGCCGGCGCCAGATCCTGCGCATGCGAGAGAGATAGCGCGGCGGCCATAGCCAGCGCGCACATAACGATCGCAATCGCGAGCTTCGCCATGCCTCTGTTTCTTCCCGCGCGCGAGAGAGAGAGCGCCAGCGAAGAACAAACAAACGAGAAAAACCCTCCGTCCAGAAGAGAATGCCAGCAGCCCTTTTCACCTTTATATTTCTACCGTTGAGCGTAACGGCCTACCGTCGATCCGCGAGGCCAAGATATTCCGCGTGGCAGCCGTACATTCCGCCGCGGAAGGGCCAGTCCAACAACAAGAGGGTGCCCGGAATGGCGGCATTGAGCTCATTGCGTTCTCCACTCTGTTCTTCGCTGCGGCAGCCTAGGGTTAGGGTGGGGCGCGGGCGCCGGGTGCGCTGCTCGAGCCGGAGCAGCATGGCGGAGGATTGCTTGCACGCGCTGCGATTGTCGGAGGAGCGCCCGGGCACGGAATCTTATTCTTCCCAGAAATCTGGCTCGGATGGGGAGGACAGGGGCGTAACGACGAAGAACAAGAAGAAGAATACGCTGGAGGAGCTGCGGTGGGATCACTCGTTTGTGCGGGAGCTTCCGTCCGATGGCACTTCTCCCAATTTTGTTCGCCAGGTTTGCCTCTGCTTGCTCTCGTGTGCCTAGATTTGATCCATGCTGCTTTGCAAGTACAGGTGATGAAAGCGTGCTACTCGAGAGTATCTCCGTCGGCCAAAGTGAAAGATCCGAAGCTAGTTGCATGGTCCGACTCGGTTGCGGAGCTTCTCGAGCTAGATCCAGCAGAGTATGTCCTCACGCTCGTGTTTTTTCCTTCCTCGTTAATGCTTGCTGTCCAGATTCAAGCGAGAGGATTTCCCATTGATCTTCTCGGGTGGCAAGGAGCTGCAAGGCAGGTATTACACTCTTGATGTTTCACTGCGAAGGAATTGTGCTCAAGTTTCGTTCTTTGTTTCCTCTTTTCGTTCTTTCAGTGAATGCTATGCTCAGTGTTACGGTGGTCACCAGTTTGGAGTTTGGGCGGGGCAACTAGGAGACGGTCGAGCAATCACGCTTGGCGAAGCTTTGAATAGCAAGAATGAGCGCTGGGAACTCCAGCTCAAAGGGGCTGGCAAAACTCCTTACAGCCGGATGGCCGATGGACTGGCGGTGCTACGGAGCAGTGTCAGGGAGTTTCTTTGCAGCGAAGCTATGCACCACTTGGGGATCCCCACGACTAGAGCATTGTGTCTCGTTACCACCGGCGACGATGTTTTAAGGGACATGTTTTACGAGTAAGCATCTGTGTTTTTGCCAGCGATGTGAAGTAACTCTTGTGGTGCTTGCAGTGGAAATGCTAAGATGGAGCCTGGAGCTGTTGTTTGCCGAGTTGCTCCTTCGTTTCTTAGATTTGGATCTTACCAAATCCATGCTGCTAGGGAGGACAGTAAACTAGTACGATTGCTCGCCGACTACACACTCAAGTATCATTTTCCGGACTTGCCAGACGAGGAAGAGCTGGAAATTAAAATCAACGAACAGGACGGGCAGATATCCAAGAACAAATACGCAGGTTTGTTTTTAAGCAGTTTTAATTTCTTAGATTGAGAGTGACGCAACAATACTTTCGTGTACGTCTGCAGCTTGGTTTGTCAAGGTGGCAGAATCCACTTCCTGCCTCGTTGCAATGTGGCAAGCCGTGGGCTTCACACATGGTGTTTTGAACACGGATAACATGAGTGTCCTGGGTTTGACGATCGACTACGGTCCTTTCGGCTTTTTGGATGCGTTTGATCCCAAGTACACTCCAAACACGACGGACTTACCGGGGCGGAGATACTGCTTCGCGAATCAACCAGATATCGGACTCTGGAACATCTTGCAGTTTGGGAATACGCTCATGGCTGCTGGCCTTTTGACGCAAGAAGAGCTTCAATATGGTCTCAACAGGTACTTTTCTTCTGTTCCCTGTTGAGAAAGTCTTTTTAAAATGGCTTTTCTACCAGATACGCGGACACTTTCATGGTGCATTATCAGCAAAACATGACCAAGAAGCTGGGCCTGAAGGAGTACAACAAGGATCTGACCAGCAAGCTACTGAGCAACTTGGCTTTTGACAAAGTCGACTACACAAACTTTTTCCGAGCTCTGGCTAGCGTCAACCTGACGGAGCCTATAACCGAGGACACTCTGGTGCCGCTCAAATCGGTGCTGCCAGATATCAGCAAGGAGCGCAAGAAGACGTGGATGGACTGGCTATCTCTCTACAGAGAAAAGGTAAGAACAAACGAAAAAAAGCCCGTGATTCGTGTCAGCTAAGGCTTACTTTCACTTTCCTCGCCAGGCCGAAGGCATCTCCGACGAATCTCGAAAGGCTGCCATGAACAAAGTGAATCCAAAGTACGTACTGCGGAACTATCTGTGCCAGAGCGCGATCGATGCGGCGGAAGCTGGAGATTTCAGCGAGGTGAGGCAGCTGCTCGAGGTGATGAAGCGGCCATTCGATGAGCAGCCGGAAGTGGAGAAGAAGTATGCGAGGCTCCCCCCGACATGGGCGTATCGGCCAGGCGTGTGTATGCTCTCGTGTTCGTCATAGAGGCGAGTTTGATTGTAAATATCGCGCGCTCTTTTCTTCCTTTCGTTATTTTTTCCCTTGTAAAGAAGCAGCACCAGATCTAGGGCTATTTAAATTGGACGTGGAGAGGCGAGAGAGAGAGGAGTGGCGATGCGCAAGAACAGGAAGGCCATGCTCTTGGCGCTGTGGATTCTATGGATTTCTCTGGCTGGGTTGTGCGCGGCGGCGGCGGCATCGGATGCTCAACCCGAGATTACTGCAGCGGCAGCTCCTCCCGCCGGCAAGGAGGGTACTCTGGCGGAAATGTTCGATCGGGTGCTGGATAAGGAGTTCTCGGACAAGGAGGATCCGCAAGAAGGTGCATTCTCGTGATCGCTGCATTCCTTAGCTTCGTCTTTCTCATTTTTGCGTTGTGTTCTTCCAGGGAAAGTGGGCAGTAGCTTCAACAGTAGTGTGGCCGATCAGCAGGTGGGTGGTTTTTCGCTGTCTCGAATCTCGATGGCTTGTTTGCTGAGGGATTTTTAATTTTTTTTTTGAAGGCTGTGTTAGAGACTGTCGCTAGAGTAACTCACGATAAACAGAAGAAGAATGAGACGCAGGATCAGAAAAAGTACGTTGTGTGATCCTCCGTTCTTTTGTGGTTCTTTTGCTGACTATATGATCATCTCTTTGCGACAGTGGAACCTCGAAACCATTCCAAATCCACGACGTTTTTAACTTGGATCCCGACAATGGGGCCGAAGAGCTGCCAACGCTGATTGACAAGAAGGTGCGTTTCCTGTGGAAGCTTATATGTTTGGCTTAGAATTTCCGTGTCTTTGCAGGACAATGTTTTTGTGATGTCAAACTCAAGATCCGGGCATATGGTACTTCAACAGGATCTTAGATTGATTTCCGACTTGGTGGTTGTGATTGTGTCCGCGGCCGTCGGAGGCATTTTATTTGCGTGCATGGGACAGCCGGTATGTCAGCTTTCCTCTCTTATTCCAGCTTCCAAGATGAATCTTTGGTTTATATATTCGCCTTTCGTGACAGGTTATCACTGGATATTTATTAGCGGGGTCCATAATCGGGCCTGGTGGGCTATGCATTGTTAGCGAGCTTGTACAGGTACTTGCAACTCATGCTCGGTTTTTATTTCTTTTCACCTTTCTTTTTTCTATCAGGTGCAAACTGTGGCTGAATTTGGGGTGGTCTTCCTACTTTTTGCCCTGGGCCTTGAGTTTTCTTCCTCGAAGGTAAGTGGACAAAGAGTTCTTCTTCTCTTTGAAGTGGTGATCACAGTGGAAACTGTTTACAGCTTCGTGTCGTTAAGGGAGTCGCTGTCTTTGGTGGTCTTATTCAAATCCTGCTTTTTATGTGTCTGTGCGGTTTCGCTGCTATGGTAGGTCTCGAATTCTATTCACAGTAGGTAGAGTTGTAACGTCGTTGCATTTTGGTGGCCAGATTTTTGGTGCGAACATCTCAGAGGGAGTCTTTGTTGGTGCTTTCCTTTCGATGTCGTCCACAGCAGTGGTATAATTTTGTTTAGGTAGTACCTAATAGCGGACGCTATTGAGCTACTCATCGAATTTGCATTCTTTTTACAGGTGTTGAAATTTTTGATGGAAAGAAACAGTGTGAGCCTCCTGTATGGACAAATAACTGTTGGAACACTAATTCTTCAGGTAAAACTCGTTTTGTTTCTTTAGAGAGGTTTGTACAAATCATCGAACGTTAGGATTGTGCTGTTGGTATATTGTTTGCTTTGCTCCCGGTACTCGGAGGAGAGAGCGGGATGATTCAGGGAGCTTTGTCCATTATTAGAGGGTAAGCTGTCGTTCGTAATTTTTTTCTCGAGAGTTAACTGTGATGTTTCAGGTTGATAGTTCTCTCAGCTTTCATTTTGTTGACGGCATTCACCGCGCGTTCTCTTCTTCCGAGAGGCATGAAATCGTTAATGCGCCTGTCCACTATGGTAATGGATTTTCTCTACACTTCTTAAGTTTAACTTAGCTCGTGCAGACAAACGAGCTCTATCAATTGGCAGCGGTTGCATTTTGCTTGTTCGTAGCTTGGGTAAGTTCGAGAAGATGATACATTTGCAATAAATCTTTTGTTTCATTCTTTTCAGACAAGTGATAAACTGGGGCTCAGTTTTGAATTAGGAGCGTTCACAGCAGGCGTTATGGTTTCCACGACGGATTTCTCTGAGCACACACTTCATCAGGTCTGCGCTCAAGTAGCTCGCTCGTCTTTCTCCTGACAAGGATATATATTCAGGTGGAACCGATCCGAAATTTGTTTACGGCGCTTTTCCTTGCAAGCATTGGAATGCTTATCAACGTCAGCTTCCTCTGGACGCATATTGATATTCTCGTCGCATCGTTGGTTCTTGTACTGATATCGAAGCTTTTCGTGATATCTGTGGTAGTCAAGGCTTTTGGTTACAACACCAGAACCGCATTGATGGTACGTGAATCCGTGACACTTTGGAAGCTAAGCGTTTTCTCTCTCGTTCAAGGTTGGAATCTCGTTAGCGCAAGTTGGAGAGTTCGCTTTTGTGTTGCTCAGTCGCGCGTGGAACCTCCACCTTTTACAGGTGAAAACTCTTTAAAATCCATTCTGCCTCCTAACAGTGTCATTCGTCGCAGAAAAAGCTCTACTTGCTTCTTCTGGGCACCACAGCTCTTAGTTTGGTAAGCTCAAACAACTCGTTCCAGGCATTGTTTTGCTAAACGAAGCTTGTGATCGCTGGCAGGTTACGACCCCTCTATTCTTTAGAATAGTCCCCGTGATACTCAAGATAGGCACTATAATGAAGTGGTTTCCAGAGTCTACGCAAGTGGAAGTAAGTGATTGTTTTATGAAAAGTTGGCCGGAAGCTCACTCGGTCATTCTTCACAGATCCCTGCCGAGAATGAGGAGTTTCCCTTGTGATCCAAGATCCAAGACTGCGATGTACAGTAATGAGCGTGAAAAGTTGATTCGTTCGCATTGGAAATTTACAAGAGTAAACTTTCGAGCTGAAACTTGCGTTTAGCTGATGGGAATCTCGACAGTCCTGGGCTTCTGTGGCTCGGGCGGGATCTTTGGCACAGTGACAGTGAGGACGCCGTCCTGGCAGCTCGCGCTGATTTGCTCCACATTGGCGTCTCCCGGCAGCGTGAACCTCCTCATGAACTTGGCGGCCCTGCGCTCCATCCGGATGAACTTGGTGTCTTCGTCCGCTTTCTCGTCCCTCTTTCGCTTGCCAGTGATGGACAAGACATTGTCATTCTCGACCTCCACCTGGAAGAACAATCCCCCCCAACCATGATATAAGATATAAGATCAAGAAGAAACCATCGAGTATAGCTTGTGTGTGTGTGTGTGTGAGAGAGAGAGAGAGAGAGAGAGAGGAAAGAGAGATTATAGCGAGAGAGATCGTTGGGATTGAAATCTCTTACCTTGATATCGGATTTGGAGAGGCCGGGCATGTCAGCTTCGAAGATGTAGGACGAGGAATTCTCCTTGACATCCACCGCAGTGGCGGCGACGGCCTTGGATTCGGCGGCGTAGCTCCTGGCGGGAGGATGGGGGACATGCTTGTCAAAATCCTCGGCATGCATCAGCCCATTGGTGAGCAATGCCGTCGCGAGCTGCGCCAAATCCACCATGATCGCGATCGATTGACCGAAATGCTGCCCTAAGAAATCCCTGTTGGACCTGAGCTTCGCATTCCGGGCTGTTTATAGCCGTGCGTGAAACCTCGCGAAGTAGCTAGAACTCTCTAGAGTCTAGAGAGAAGACTTGTGATTCGAGCCCGCGACCGAAGCGTCACGGGATCTCCACCGTCAGATTCTGACGGCCAAGATCACTTTCATTCAAACATTAGGGTAAGATGAAACGAGCTTTCTATGCTCAAGGGCGGCAATAGGAGGACTGGGAGGAGAGCGAAGGCGGCGAGCTTGCAGTGCCTCAGCGACGCGATCGACAGCTTGGAGAAGCGATCTTCTCCGCCGGACTCGGATTTCTACGCGGCGCTGGTCCGCTACTGCGGCGATTGCCAGGCGCTCCCCCACGGCCGCCGCGTCCACGCTCACCTCCAGGATCACGGCTATGGCCGCAACAGGTTCCTCGGCAATCTCCTCATCCAGATGTATGGCAAATGCGGCAGCCTCGCCGACGCGCGCGCGGTCTTCTCCCACTTGCCCTGCAAGAACAGGTATTCCTGGGCGATTCTCATGGCGGCCTGCAATGCCTGCGCTGGGAATGGCTGGGAGACGATCGATCTCTTCCATCTCATGGATCTTGATGGAATCCGGCCCGACACCGTGAATTTCGTCAATGCGCTCACGGCGTGCTCGTTTGCGGGCGCGCTGGCCGAGGGCCGGGCGCTCCACGCGAGGATCGGAGCGCTGGGGATGCTGAGCGACAGATTCGTGGCGTGCGCGCTCATCAGCATGTATGGCCGCTGCAAGGATCTGGAAGACGCCAAGGCAGTGTTTGATTCAATGGCCGACAGGGATCTCATCACCTGGAACGCGATGCTTGCTGCGTATGCCCAGAACGGGCATTGCAAGGAAGCGCTGGATTTCTACCGGCAGTTCGATCGTCACGGGGTGGCTCCAGACAACGTCACTTACATCACTCTCCTCTACGCTTGCTCCTGCCTCGAGGATCTGGAAGAGGGGATGAGGATCCACTCGCTGCTCCCACCTGCCGTGATCGACGAAGACATCGTCCTGGCCAACGCGCTGGTGACGATGTACTTCCGGTGCCAGAGGATGGATCTCGCCGAGCAAACGTTCGAGCGGATCACCAACAAGGACTACGCGAGCTGGAACGTGATGATCTCGGGGAATGCGCAATGCGGGCAGGCCAGGAACGCGTTGGCGCTCTACAGGAGGATGAACCTCGAGGGATTCGAGGCCGGGGACGTGACCTTCATGAGCGTGCTGGATGCGTGCTGCCTCGTCAAGGATCTGGGCGAGGGCCGCCGCGTCCACGCTTGGGCGAGGAGCACTGGATCGGACCAGCAAATTCTCGTCGGCACCAATCTGGTAAACATGTATGGCAAATGCGGCAGCGTGGAGGAAGCTCGCGAGGTGTTCTTGGGACTCAGGAGGAAGACGCTGGTTACCTGGACGGCCATGATCGCGGCATATGCCCAAAACGGGCATTCTCGGGAGGCGCTGGATCTCTTCTACGAGCTCGAGCGGGAGGAATGCGGCAAGGATCTGGACAACATAGCGCTCATCACGATCGTGGACGCATGCGCGAAGATTGGAGATTTGGGCGAGGGAAGGGAGCTCCACCGGCGGATCATCCAGCACAGGGTGGAGTCGGACATCGTCGTGTGCAACGCGCTCATCACCATGTACAACAAGTGCGGGAGCCTCGCCGGCGCTCGAGAGATCTTCCAGAGCATCCAAGGTCCCAACATCATCTCCTGGAACGCGATGCTCGCCTCCTACTGCGAGCACGGATCAAACGCGGCGGCGCTGGAGCTCTTTGCGCGGATGGTGAACGATGGCTGCCCGCCCGACGATATAACGTTTGTGAGCATACTGTTTGCTTGCAGCCATGCTGGGCTTTTCGAGCAGGGGTGGCAGCACTTTGTGTCCATGAGGGATGACTTTGGGGTGGTGGGCAAGTTTGAGCACTACGTTTGCATGGCCGATTTGCTTGGGCGGTCGGGGTGGCTGGACGAGGCCGAGGTGCTGCTCGACGGGGCGCCTTACAGGAGTGCTGCCACGGCATGGAACACTCTTCTTAGTGCTTGCAAAATGCATCAGAACTTAGGAAAGGGCGAGAGAATTGCCGAGAGGATACTGGAGCTGGATCCACAGGTTGCTGGCTCTTATGTCCAGCTCTCTAATATGTATAAGGTTAGTAGGGGATGCAATAGCAAAACTGATTCATACATTTGCTGATACTTTCTCTGAAGCCAAGCGTATTCTTTGAATAGCCCAGGTTAAAGTATTACCACCAAATTGAAAGGAAAGTGCGTATAAATATACATGTCTTTTTGTCATTTGGTTATTGATAATAGATAAATTGTAATGAGGAAATATTTTTCAGTAGTTTTCTATTTATCTTATCTGGTAAACCAAGCATGAGTGATGGATATAAATGGAGATGTTTACCTTATTCTTTAAAAGATGCTAAAGAAGAGATTTGTAGATGTCAAGATGATATTTTCCATGCCCTTAATCAAAATCGCACTGGAAGAATATCTTTTATCCATGGTTTTGTAAGAGTAACTGCTTATATTGGGATACATAGTAGTGAAACTCCAAATGACTTAAATGAAGCTTTGAACATAATATGGGATAAATGTATAACACCATTTAATAAAGGTGGAGGTGTATATCTGAATAATGGGTCACTCAATGTGAGAATTGAGGCAACATGAACTGAGTTATCTCTAGAGGTTTCAGCAAATTATACATTTACCAAATTAAATTGCTATTGAAATATATTAAATAAATATAACTTAAATCAAAAAAATTATAAGAAAATTTATCAGTATAATCTAATTTAAATTATCCATATTTATCCTTATCATATACAGGGCCAAGTGTACGGCTACGATGCCGTATACTAATATTAGCATAGTGGGATTTTGGTAGCCGTCGGATTAGTTTCAATCCGGACCACTCGCTCCTGTATATAAGCTAGGGTTTTTGGGCTAATTGATATGCACATTTCTGTATTCCCTTTCCATATTCCATGCACTCACATTGGTGGAGTAGAGGGGCACCTTTGATTGTCCTTGAGGAGTGCTTAAATTTGGGATTTTGGTTTAGATCTAGCTTTTGCATCGTCTAAATCTAGCTTTTTCCATTTCCTTTCTTTTGTTTTTTCTTTTCAGGATTTTGGTTTAGATCTAGCTTTTTGCATTGTCTAGATCTACCATTTCTTTCCAGCTTTTTGTCATTTCTCATCTTTTGCTCTTTCTTTTTCATTCATCTTCATGGCCGATCCGCAATCTCCTCCTTTGACTCTAGAGCAGCAGTTGGTTCAATTGCTTGATGCTATGCGCTTGCAATTGAACAACCAAACTCAGTTGATGGCGGTGTTCATGACACATGGTACAACTCCTCCTGCTCTTGGTGCCAATCCTCGCGTTCGGCCGGAGTTCTTTTGTGGGAATCTTGGGGATGATGTGTACTATTGGTTCGATCACTTCACGGTGATTGCCACATATCATTCTTGGGATGATGCTCGACGTTTGCGTGAGTTCCCCACATGTCTCCAAGGGACGGCATTGCAGTGGTACAATGGATTGAGCGCGGCCACTCGTGGCGATTGGAGTGTTCTTCCGGACGTCTTCAAACACGCCTTCGGACATGCTGACAATTGTGATGATGCCTTCCAACAATTGCATCGTCTTCGCCAAAGGCCATCTGAGTCAGTGATGCAATTTGGCGTTCGTTTCCGAAGTCTTTTGCTTCGTGCGGAGCCAAATATGTCAGAGCGGATCAAGTTAGGAATGTTGTGGCCAGCACTTCGTCAAGATCTTGTCGGACTTGTGCATGCACTTGCTCCTGCCACTCTTGACGATGCTCTTCGATTGGCACAACTTTATGAGACGTCGCCTCTTCCACTTCTTGCTACACGTCCTTCAGCTCCACTTCCTATGAGTGATGGTCCTGTCCCCATGGAGATTGATGCTGCTGCTACTCGAGTCCAAGGACAAGGGCGAGGATGTGGTCGTGGCTGTGATGTTCGTTGCTGGGCGTGTGATGAAGTTGGTCATACTTATCAGTGTTGTCGGTGCTTTCCGGATTGGCGACCTCCATTTCCTGGGTGGAGACCTTGGCGTCAGCAACGTCCCGTTGGTGCTGCTGCGGTGGAAGGTTTGGATACCGAGGTGCATTCGGGAAACGAGGAGTCGTGCGAGTAATGGAGGGACCTTGCGTGAATAAGTTAGTGACCCCTCTATCTTTCTTTCGGGAGTATCATCAAGGGGTTCACTCGGCACCGGTTCATCCAGTGTTTACTTTCCAAGCTCGTTTTTATAACAAGAGGTCTCCTATTCTTC